TTTTCAACTGATTTTCTTCAAATAAATAATGTTTCTAGATTAAATGTATTCTCAAAGGCTGTTTTTCTAGATAAAAATTCACACAATTGAACAGGTTTTCTTCCAGAGGACTTCAATCTTTAGCACACTTACTTGGAAGTAAATTCTACTGAAATAAATGTGGTCAAGTACTAAGCTATAAAAAGTCAGATTAAAAGGGCTTATCAATGATAAAGTGAAACAAAATTTCAGCTTTACGGCAAAATATTACAAATGAAAGATTTGTGCCAGCCGAATAAATTTAAAACTGCAAGTTCTATAATGTCTGGTACAGTATAGGCACCACTATTAAAACATTCACTGCCTAAGAAAAACAGTCTCCTGTGCCTTTTTTTAACCATCTCCAATGGGTAGTGTTATTTTCTCTGTTTTGCTGTTTATCAGCATCCGTCAGCAAAAGTTTCTGCCGCTGAAGGTTTTCAGTTTATCCCTATTCCATGGAAGGAAATCCCAAAAAAGCCCTTCCCCAAAATCTGGAAGGCAATCATTTCTATAGTTTTCTGCAGATATTTTAAGCGTTGGTTTTTGAAGCCATATTTCCCAGGAGGATTAGCAGGGGATGTCCACCATGTTGGATTATTTCAATTTAGCATTATCACAGTTATGCAAACTAACCACCCCTCCATGAAAATTCATTTAAAATAAAACTCAGGAGGAGATCACTTCTAGGGTGATCTGGATCATTCTCCAGATTTTTAAAAATGTTGTTTCTGAAGGCAGTTGATTGCTAACAGGGTTCAGCAGCATCCACTGCCATCAGAATGTTTCAATTCTGCACTAATCTGCTAAAGGAAAAACAGACAAGATCCTTCGGAAGGTTTTCGAGTAGTTATAAAGGGTCTCTTCAAACTTTTGATAGATTTCTTTTTAAAAATGCTGATTTCTTATGAGACGTGGCGGTAGTGTGGACAGAAAGCCATGTAAGATGGCACCTAACTGGTACAAAGTGGTGAAGCACAAGTGGTCCATGTCTGGGTCAGCCCTACGTTGTGAACCAAGAGGTTTTTATAAAATAGGAAGTCCCTCGGCTGTGAATTGTAGATACAGCTAACAAGATGTTAGATAAAATGAACATGTTGTAAAAACATAATTTGTAAACCGGGTTTGGGCCAAAATCCCATGCGTATATTTTTAATAAATAATTGTAAGGGATTTGAATGGAAAAGAGACAAGAGGCTGCAACGATAAAGACAACAATACACCTTAAAGGCTAACAAGTTTTACTTGGCATGTGGATTTTAGGACCACTGCCCACTTCATCAGATGCATCTCTGCTGTTTTTCCTGAAACAGAATAATACACTAAACTTTTAATATGAACTTTTCTGGAGGGGAAAGCCTGTAAAAATTCTCACTTTACTCTTTTCCGTTGTTTACGAGTCGCTGTTTCTTCAGTTGGTGAAGGATCCATATCATTTCCATTCTGTTCAGTGAAAGCTGTCTCTGATTCTGGAAGTTTAAAATGGAGAATAAGAAAATCTATGTGGCAGATGACTGAAGAAAATCATGCAAGAAAAACCATTATAATAGCAGACAGGAAAGGCGGGCAGACTCCTGAAATTCAAATATCACATTAAAATGTAATTCATGTTATCTACCTCCTTCCTGCCTTCTTTTCCAAGGTGATAAACTTGACTTAGTTCTTCTCAAAACAGCCCTGTGAGATACATTAGACTAAGAGGCAATGACTGATCCAAGTTTTGTGTGACAGTTAACCAATTAACTCCATAGGCAAATGGGGCCTGTCTTCCGGAGAGCTTTACCATCTTGGTCAAACCTGAGACAAATTTCAGCCTGTCAGTATCTTTTTTTAAATATTGGTGTCTGGCTGTGGACACAGGATTCCACTAAAAACAGAAGAGGGTAGCACTTTTATTTCAAATCCACACACTTATTACCTATGTCCCCTGATCTTTCTCCCAGGAGTTCAGAGCAAATTTTGGCTTCACGATATTGCTTTTGAGGCTATAGTGAGACAGAGCAAGATCTGAGCTTAGATTTCTTACCCTGAACCCATGTCTCCAGCCACTGCTTATGGCTTCTGTCTGTTCTTTTTCCTCCCTCCAATTCTATACATACCAGGAGGCACTCTCTTTTTCTTACGCTTCCTCTGAGGTGGAACATCCTGTCCCTCTGCTGTCAGAGGCTCACTGCTTTCAGATGGTCGACGGACAGCTGCTTCAACAATGCCATCTAAAAAGTAGAAACACAAAGTAAGTTCAGTTCACAATATGACAGTTTTTCCTTGACCCTGAAGGAATGGGACATAAAGAATGTATCTCCTACTTAATTGTTGCTGAATTACAGAAACTGATTAAGCTGACTGGGCCTATTACCACACACACACAGAGATGGCACTTCGTTAACATTGTTACTTTATATATATATATATAATGTAAACACATTAAGAATTGCTTTGGCGAAAGGATTAACGATGTGTTCGTGACTGGGGTAACGTGTGTGTGTGTGTGTGTGTAAAAAAGCTTCAGTTTCTTTCAGCAATTCCAAATCTCAGAGCTAGCCTGATTAGAACTGGAGTCCTCTGGAAGCCAACTCTATGTGTAGAAATTCATTGCAGAGCCCTTAAAAAACTTGTATTATATAAAATGTAAACACATTGCTTTGGCGAAGGGATTAATGATGTGTTCGTGACTGGGGAAATTAGATGTTTTGTAACAGCCTTAGGGAGAAGACAGAATGAATGACAGTCTCTGTGCGTGAAGGACTGCACCACACTCTTGAGTGAGAAGATGAGAGTGAAAGAGAGAGATTCATCAAAATAAATAAGGTTAGAATTGATATTATACTACAGATGCGTGTAATGTCAGCCCAACAACCCCTTCTCCGTGGCAGAGCACTACTTATAAAGAATGCCTCAGAGGGGAGGAATGGAGGCAGGAACATAATTCTTCCCTGCCCAACCGTTTCTCCATGAAATGCAACAGTTGGGGGAGAATTTTTTCATTTGGTTTCTAAAATGAACAAAAAGTAACGTTGGACCACTTATTGTGAGCCATTCCGATTATACAGGAGTAGAAGGACATCCTACCAATGGACTGTCCCCTCCCATCCACCTTGACAGACAGGTACTAAAGACCAATCTTTTTACAGTGGCTGGCTCCCTCTAGTGGAGGGGGAACCCCAGCACTTCGGTCCTGTCTCCAAGCCTAATTTTGAAAACAAATGGAGAGAACAAACAACAGAAGAACCAGGAATGCCAGGCCTGGAAGACAAAGGTCTCCAATCCTTCCCTGACTCCTAACCCACAAGGTGACTCTGACAGCACCCAGCACTCTTTCACCTGGGAAGAGAAGGACACCCTTCTAACCCAGAGGAGCCTTGTGGCCTAGTAGTTACACTGAAGTACTGCAGTGAAAACTCTGCTCACAATCTGAGTTAGATCCCAATGGGTTTAGGCAGCTGGCTCAAGACTGACTCAGCCTTCCCTTCTTCCGAGGTGGGTAAACTGAGTACTCAGCTCACCGAGATGGGGGAAGGCAGTATGTAGCCTGCATAGTTAAATTGTAAACTCCCCAGAGAGAGTGCTTTAAGAACTATGAGGTGGTATATAAGCAGAACACTTTGCTTTTTGCTTTGTATAAAAGGAATGTCTCACAGTGAGTAGAGAGTGTTACTTTATCCTACAAGGAGAGAAGGATGTATTTACAGTGGGACTTTATTAACCAAGCCAATAATTCCAGGAGGGTCAGAGATGCTGCTGGTTCAATGATCCCAAATAACCTCCAAAAGGATGAGATCTACTGAGGGACAACCAACTGCAGAACCCTGAGCCCAAAAGATGTCACCCCAAAGCAAAAATGTCCACTCTGTTGTGCTGGACAAAAAAAGACTGAGGTTTGCAAATGGCTGCTCCACAAATATCCAAAAGAGGAAAACATTTTTTTAATTTTTTTCAGACAGATAGAAGAAGCAAGTGAGGAGACAGACACTGAGGCAAAAGTAGAAACCAAGACACTGCAGTAAGCCGGCCACTCTAAAAAGATTGGTCGTTAGCTCCTGCCTATCGAAGTGAGCAAGAGAGACTGCCCATTGTAAAGACATCCTTCTCCCCGTCTAGGAAAGACTAACGCAATGGCAATAACAGACAGCAACTTTACATTTATTGTTCTTTAAACTATGATCAATAATTGAGTTTTAAAAAACAAACTCAAAAGCATCTCGTTGAGTGTGACTCACTGTCTAGCTCCAAGCAATCAAGATGCTCTGAAAGGACAAAAATAAGAAAAAAGAATGAGTAAAGCAGAGTGTTTATTTAACTGTTCTGCCAGCACTCCCTGTCTTGAAGAGTAATTTCAATTTATAGGGAATCTTGCTAGCCAGAGCATGAAAATAGTGTGCATTCATAGAAGAAACACACTGTCCCTCACAAGGCCTTGACTAGAAACGTACTCAGCGTATGTTCCAAGAAAATGGAGCACTAACAGAATCTGTGCTAAACGGGCTCATTTTAAGATTATGTCTTATGGCAGAGGTGAAAGCACCAACACAGGTAAGCAGTAGGCCTGCAGGAAAGTGCAAGTAGATCCGATCTCCAGAAGAATGAGTGAGTGTTAAGGCTGCCGGGGAGTGGATGCTGCAGAACAGGAAGTGATGGGGAACACCTCAGGAGAGAAAAGCTTCAGCTTCAGCCACCAGGAGTTCTGGAGCCCCAGTCTAGTGTGGTGGTGAGAATAAGAGTACAGAAAAGAACTAGAGAATGTCAATGTGGAACAGGTAGACCAGGCCTGAGGTCTCACATAGGCCTGGGTTACCTCCCTTAGAGAGATCAGGGCCCTGTCAAGCACCACAAAAGGCTGTAGTATACTGCTGTAGTGAATCAGCGCTACACAGGCATTGCTATACAGGATACAATCCACCCTTGCTCTAACAACACAGTAAGGCTCACATAACCCCAGAATGTTCTGTCAAAAACACTGTCCATTTTTTTATTAAAGTTAAGAGGTTCCATCATAACAGCTGTTGAACAAAAATTACTCTAGCTGCTCTAAATGAATCAGGAGTGTCATGGTTTAGGTTATTAAGGCTAAAATGTAATTTTTAAATGGGATTTGTAGTCATGGAACTGTGTAGAAGGAATCCATATTGGTCTGTGTTAGCATAACTGGATGCTTCGAGAAGCTGTTTCTCCTAGAGCTACCTGGAATTTTCCATGAAGCTGACTTGGCCAGAGACGATAAGGGCCAAGACACAACATCAGGACGATGGTCAACAACACCTGTACATCCCGTGGGAAATGGAGGTGGAGTGTGAAGAGACAGCCCTTTACGCTGATTGGTTAACATCACAGAACAGTGGCGAAGAAGGGTGGTCCCAGCATGAAAGAAAAATGGAGAATGGAAACAGAGAGAGACCTTGGATTTTTGAGAATGATTTTTAGTATGGATCTTTGAGTTCCACATGCTAGTCTTTACTGTTATGCTAGGATGTAGTTCAGTGTAAGGATGGAGAAAGGGGGGCTATGCCTAGCCTACCTTCTAAGCTATTTTTAGAGTTTGTTATTTTATTTTTGTAGCTGGAATTTGCTAAAGTTCTAACTGCTTTGATTTATGGAAACGTACTTGAATGCTATGCTTTTGCAACAAACTGAATATCTCTAAATTCTTTATTTAGAATTTATTTATTAATAAAACAATAATTCTTAAAATCCTGCGTTTGGTCTCTTGAACAGCAAACCTCCAAGATTAAGTGTCAGGCCACAGATACGCTACATGAGTCCATTATTAGCCTGAGTTTTGTTCGTCTTGGTAGACTCCAAAACTCATGATTTCTATCCTTGTTTTTTCTCAGTTAATTGCTTATTAGAACAGACTTGGGAAAAAGGGTAAGTGGTACTGCCTGGCTGGGTTACCTGGACTCTGCTCAGCTGTATTAGGAGTACACTTACGCCTGGAACCTGCCTGTTCCGGCCTCAGGTGTTCTTTTAGAAGACCCTGGGTGCTTACATGGTGTTTCAGAAATTATTTTTAAAAAACGGTGGAATTATGATTCAGAATTAAGAGAATGCAGTCAACACTGAAATCTGTGAAACCTTGGTTTTTTTTTTTCCTTAATGTCTGTTACCCTAGGGAAGAGAAAAAGAGAGATGGTTAAGGGATTTCTGTAATTAGGAAAAGTAAATTGATACACTCCATCACCAGGAGCAGGTGTGGGGAAAAGCTGGTCTCCTCCTGTCTTCTTGTTTGTGAAGAAGCTTAGGCAGAAAGGACCTATTCACACACCAATTTTTTTTCTCTGAAAGCTTATTTGCTGCTTTCCGGGGGAGCTGCTGGGAATGGGCGAGAAATAAAAATGAAGGGGAAGAAAAAGAAAGAAATTCGACTGGATGGAAGGAAACAGATGGACGTGAACAAGGACGTGTGTAAATGGACCGATAAAGGTGGCTGCACATGTGTGAGAAAGAGAGGAAGGGAAACAGTGTGGGCTCCAAGCACTGCATCTACAAATGAGCTCCTGCCCATCCAGGCACATGTATGAAATTTCACCTGAGGGAATGTAGCCCCTGTGGATGCGGGACAGGAATCAATGCAGGAAGGGTTCCATTCTGACCAGGAGTCTGATGGCTCCTCTTTCTAGACTGCATGCCTTGACTTCTGCTTGGACTAACCCCTCCACCGTTTGTGTATATATTAGCCATTTAACTGTCACAAACAACCTGCAGCCACTTTTCTCCACAGAACGGTATCTTAATATGTTTGTTTTCCAGGTAGCATTAAATAAGAAATCTTGCAGAGCTCAAACTCTTTGGTAGCAGATCAATACAGCCCAGGCTAACTAACCTAGACACAACTAATATCATATGCCAAGATATTTTGATTATGGTATTAACTATTTCATGTATTCTCTTCAGCTCTCAGTTGAATCAAATTCTTACCCAAAGTATTTTTTCCCTTGGCCTTTTTCCTTTTTTGGCGACGGCCTCGTATGTCATCTGAAGTCAAAAAGTCAAAAAGGAAAACACATGTGTCACAAAGGAATAATATAACTCTTGCAAGCGTTCACGCACTTCATACACATTAATGGAGTTGTAACCCTTACAATACCCTGTTAGGTAAATGAGTACTATTCCCACCTTCCAAATTGTAGACAGGAATATTCAGGTTGACAGAGAATGGCTCGCTTAAGGCCATCTGGCGATTTCACAGTGGAGGTGAGATTCAAATTGAGAACCTCTTGATGGGAGACTCACTTTTTTCACCAGTATGGTGGGTGAAGGGGCTTCGAAGTCATGGGAGGGCGTACTTAGCTGTTTAGTTTCAATCTCATGGGGTCCCCTAATAAGAATGAGGAGCAGAATAACTGTTAAGTAATAAATGAACTCACCTTGGTTTCCACTTCAGATGAAAGATTTTTCAAATCAAGGTAGAAAAGAAATTAAGAAAGAAATATAAAAGAAATAATACTATTACATTTGGAAATAGATGATAAATCACAACTATTATAATCCCTCTCCCCTGCAACAATAAATAGGGCTTTAACATATACACTAGAACTTCTTTATCATAAGTAATAAATGAACTCACCTTGGTTTCCACTTCAGATGAAAGATTTTTCAAATCAAGGTAGAAAAGAAATTAAGAAAGAAATATAAAAGAAATAATACTATTACATTTGGAAATAGATGATAAATCACAACTATTATAATCCCTCTCCCCTGCAACAATAAATAGGGCTTTAACATATACACTAGAACTTCTTTATCAACAGGATCAGTATCAACTGATTCACTTATCCACAATCTGAAAATATTAAAAATATTGAAAGAAAAAATCCAGAAAAAAATCCTATTTTCACATGTATTACCAGAACCAGCCACTAGAGGGAGC